TGAATCAAAGAAGAGTGAAGAAAATCAGAGGCATCTGGAACAATTAGTCCAAGGATAAGATGGACCATGAGGACCTCAGCCTTCATGACCCCAAGACCAGAAGAACTAGATGGTGCCCAGCTACCAAAGAACTAGATGGTGCCCAGCTACCAACACCAGCTATGCAGAAAGGGATCAAATCTGGAGATCCTGGGTAGAGTGGGAAGAAAAATGTGAAACAAAATTCAGAAACACAAAAATGACCAGAATTACTGGTTTGATAGAGACTGGTGAAACCCCCAAGACTATGACCCCGGGCTACCCTTTGGGCCTAGAAATGAGCTCACACCCATGAATTGGCTCTCAGCCCAACAGTAGAAAAAAATTACATGCAGGACACCTACTCCAGGGTGATGTACTCACCTACTCTAGGGAGATGAAGTTCTTAGAGCAGTCAGCCATAAGACACCAGAGGGGCAGCATTCATATAGAGGGAAAGTTGGACAGAAAGGAAGGCATAGTTAAGGGCACAGGAAGGGGATAGTCACAGGGACAGGAGGGGAGGAGAGTTCATTATGGTCGGGGATGGTAAATAGGGTGTGAATTCAAATGTACAGGAACTACTGAATGTAAAGCAAATTTGTTCTATAAATTTATACCCAAAGCACAATAAAATTTAAATACATATATAAATATTTCATGCTTTTTGTAAATTAATAAATATATATGTAGAAAAAACATCGAGGAAGATACACATCAGCATGTTAACAGTAGTCCTCTCTGAGTGAATTTACAGATGTTCTTCACATACAACTTTCTGTCTTGTGTGTTGTCTGAGATTTTTTATTATTACTGTTTTTTGCTTTCACAATTAACATGTATAATTTTATAGGAGGAAAATATTTTTCTTCGGAAAAATCAAACTTGAAAAGGTAAAAGGAACACTGAAGAAATTAAGTGTTTGTTATTTAAGCAAGCTAAAGAAAAACTCCTATGGTCCATGTTAATTGTGTTATCAGCACTGTAACTTGTTTTTGTGACCCTCCCCAGTCCTTCTGCCCCAACTGAAATACTGTTAACACTTGATGTAACATCTTTCCTCACCCCACAGCTTCCCGTTCCTTTTCATCCTTCATGTGTCTCCCTCTATGTCCTTTGAGCTAGAAAGACACACTTGCCTTGTTGCTAGAGCACCACACTGTACAAGGATATGATCTGAGGTTTTACTCTTCTAGCATTAAGAAACCAGTTTCCATTAAATGGATATCAACTCGTCGTGACCCCAGGGTGGAATTGGGCTCTACGGGCTTTTCTACTCTTTTTTTTTAATTGTGATTTGGTTGAAAGTTTACAGAGTAAATTTGTTTCCCATTCAGCAGTTCACACACACTTCGTTTTGTGACATTGATTGCAGTCCCCATAATGTAACATCCCTCTTCCCACTTCTTCCCACTTCCTCCCTGTGGTTACCTTCACCCTGTGTCCTTCTTTCCTGTGCATTCCTGCCCTCTGACCTATCTCCCTGTGCAAATGCAGCCCTTTTGATCTTCCATGTTTTGATTGTTCTAAGGAGTGCACCTACCTGGTGTAATTGTACATTCACCTCATAGTCCTGTCTGTTGTTTGGCTAGAAGTTAAGGCATGGGAGTGAGTTCATTTCCAGGCCCAAAGAGTGACTAGGGGTCATAATCTTGGGGGTTTACTGGTCACAAAAAAGACCAGTAAGCCTGGTCTTTTTTGTGATTTTGAGCTTTGTTCCACATTTGTCTCCAACTGTATCCAGAATCTCTTATTTTGATCCCTTTCCGAGTGGTTGGCAGTGATAGCAGAGCACTGGGTCATAGGCTGAGGTTCTCAAGGTCCACTAGTACTTTAGACTAATTGTTTCCATGTTTTATTTTTTTCATTCTTCTTTGCTCTGGACCAGGAGAGACCAACTGTTGCATCTTGGATGGCCACTTGGAAACTTTTAAGCCCCCAGTCACTACCCAGGATGTAGAATGATGTTTTTGAGTAGTATTTATGCCAGTTGAGCTTGATGTCCTCCACAACCATAGTCCTGAGCCCACTCTATCCCTCAAGGTGTGTGGCTGTAGCTAAGAAGTTATCATAACTTTGTCCCCTGTTAGTTCTGTTTGTATGCACATTCTTTTAGCACAGACAAACATGTATGGAGAAATATCATCTGCCAACCTTCTATATGGTCAGATATATATATATATATTCCCTTTTGCCGAGACATATCTTATCGTTCAGCCTGTCTACCTGTGTATCCACCCATAGATCAGTGTTTGTTATTACTGATAAAGGAGCTCTGGTGGCATAGCACCTAAGGCATTTGACTGCTAACCAGAAGGCTGGCGGTTCACACCCACCAGCCACTCCTCAGAAGGAAGGTTGGGCAATATCACTTCTGTAGCGATAGCCTTGGAAACCCAAGGAGGGGTCGCTGTGAGTCAGATCCGACTCCACGGCAGTGGTTGCGGGTTTATTTTTGCGTATTACTGATAATGCAATATTGTGTGCATGTGTGTGAAAGTGTTTACCTTTATTGTCTCTATCTCTCATGTATCTCTCTCTCTGGGCTTTCTGATAGCTGATCAGAAGTAATCACCAGGACTTTCTTCCAAGGAGCCTTTGGGTAGACTCAAACCACAAACTTTTGGTTTGCAGCCACATGGGTTAACCATTTGCACCACCTATGAACTCCCTTCCAACATTAAAGCCTTTACCTCAATTAGCAAATGGACCTTTAGGATGTTTCATTAACATAGCTTCTGTCTGTCTTAAATGATGTAGAATACAGGTGCTGAGGCTGCCCATGTTTCACACTCCAGGCTTTGCATTCTAGACTGCCAGGAATTGGCATATGAATTTTTTCAAGAGCAGAGAAATGTGACCCAGACCTTACTTTGGTCCTTAAATTCCACTTTCTTACTTAGTCTCAGCTTACTTAGTCTCATTTAAAAAAAGGAAAAAAAGGGGAGGGAGAAATATATATATATTTTTTTGCTATTCAAGATTTATATTTATTTATTTATTTATTTATCTTGAATAGCAAAAATGGTTATACATCTTGAAGAATGTAATCAGTGCCACTGTATTGTACATGTAGAAATTGCTGAGTTGGCATATTTTTAAAAAATACATATTCACCATCAAAAAGAAGAAGAAGAAGTCTCTTGGCCAGTTCCCAGGTATTTTGTGTATACATTCAGTACTGCTGTTTTAAATGATTGCTTTGAACCAATTCATTCTGGGTCAACCACCTGCTGAGAATTTGCATTTCCACCTGAGATACACTGAGTGGGAATCCACAGCTTAACAAGATCCCCAGATGATTCTTGTTAAAATGTAGATTTGAATTTAGTGTATCTGGGGTGAGAATTGGCAGCTGGGGGTTGAACCAGAATGAGCCAGTTCAAAGCTCTGGTTTAAACCTTGGGTCCTGGCTAGTCTGGTTTAAGTGGTGGAGTTTTGTTTTCAGTAATTGGGTGATTGAAGGAAAAGAATCACAAAGAGTAAGTAGAGAAACAAAAAGTTTTAAGCAAACCCTGTATATCAGGTATTCTGTTAATTGTTCATGATATAAGTAAATATAAGAAACTGTCCTCTCTGGGATAATTATAAGCAGCTTAGTGTATGTCCAGGGAAAGTGAAGCAAGGGCTTATTGAGTAGACTTTCCAAGGTTCTATTATCATCAGCCTCAGCACATTAACTGAAAGGTGTTACAGCTTCAGTATTGAGAAGGTGTGACCATGAGTATCTTAGGAGGTTAGGGTCTCAGACTCTTCCTAAGTTACAAGTGGTATTAGAACAACAAGCACACTTCCATATTCTTTGCCTTTTCTTTTTTAATATATTTAATTTTAGCATTTAATAGTTTTCCTCTTCCCTTTTGGTTCCTTTTTATCTACCTCCTCTAACCCACTCACATTCTTGTCACTGAAAACAAGGGAAATAAAAACAGAGAAAGTGAAATTAAAGACTCAGAGGGAAAGGATGGATTCTGGTATCTACAAAAACCTAAATTACTTTTTTGTTGTTGCTTTGGTTTTCATTAAACGTTGTTCCTCTCTGGGTAGTGAACAGTCCCCCGAGCAACCTGTGTTTAGGAGTGTGGACTTGGGCTCAGAGCACAGCTCCACTCCTCACTCCACCTCGGGCAAGTGACTGCCTTAATTTCATTTTTCTTATTTGTCAGCCTTTTCAGTGATTTGTGTAGTTAATGTGTTAAAGTTTTAGGACAGTAAATCAGTGAGTGTTAGATTTTATTAATATCTATCAGTGTTTATACAATAGGCTATTAAATGTGAATTTTGATGTTCCCCAATAATTTTGAGGAAAATGAGCACCGTCTCTCCCCTGTTTCATTAGATCTCTCTGACAGCTGCTGCTTGGTTGTGTTTAGCTGAGGCTCTGAACATTTCCTCAGAGCAAGTCATGAGGGCCATGTGTGCCACCACTGCTGTGGTATTGCCAGTACCACACCAATTGCCCTCAAGTCATTTCCAATTCATGGCAACCCCGTGTGTGTCAGAGTAGCACTGTGCTCCAGAAGCAACTAAATCACCAGGAAGTAGATTGCCAGACCTTTCTTCCAAGGAGCCTCTGAATGGACTCATACCTCCAAGTTTCTGGTTAGCAGTCAAATGCATTACCCATTTGTGCCACCCAGGCACTCCGCCTATGGTACTTGGCTGGTGTTTCCCAAAGGATCTGGAGTTGCCCTCTCCCACAACTCACTCACTGAAAATTTTCTCAATAAAATACCTAATGAAGAACTAAAGGGGTAGGGACAGAGAGGGAGAATGAGGCATCTGAGAAAGGGAAGGGAGAGGACTCTTCTGGCAGCTGGTGTGAAGTGTGGTCTCAGCTAGCAGTGGTTTGGCTAAAGTAACATCGATCCAGTTTGTAGCAGCAGCCTCTGTCCTCCTCCCCAGACATTCTTTTCCTTCCTGTCCTTAGAGGAAGGAGGAGGGCTGGTATTTACTGACTCCCGACTCTGTTTCCCTTTCAGCTGACCCTCTGGTAGGCAGCATTGCCACGCAGTACATGACCAACAGAGCGGAGCACGACCGGATGGCCAGACAGTGGACCAAACGGTACGCCACATAGGGGCCTGCTGCCTGCCTCCCCGCCGGACCTGTGCAAGCACATTCACCAAGTGCATCAATAGCCCTGCCCACCCCTCCCAACCTCAGTTCTTATTTTCTTATTTTTATTAGATTTTGAACCATTTTGTGATGGTATGTCATCTATCCCCCCTCTTACCTACTCCTCCCCTCCCTTTGACTCTCTTTTTGATTTCTTAACTTGAAAGATTTGGGTTGTTGTTTTTTTTTTCCCACCTCAAAGTGGATGGGAGCTTTTGTTTTCAGTGCAAAAAATGTTGGCCCTGTAATAGTAAAAGCTTTCTTACAAAGCTTTGTATTACTGTGTGGTTTTGTTTTTTTCTTGTCATTTTGTTTATTTTGATTTTTTCCCCCTTTTATGCGATCTTCGGGAAAACACAAGTTCAGAATTATATCTTGTTTCTACTTAAATGTAGTGCTTAGGATTAATTTTTTGTACTGAAGTCTTTATTGGTGGGTGCATGCTACTGGGAACAAGTTTTTGTACAAAAGCTTAAATCAGAATCACTGTGCATTACTGAAACTCTGTTTATCACTAGCCTTCTGTCCCCCACACAGAAGACTGTTGGATTGAACAAAATAATATGTATTTTGATTTCCTTAAAGTGCTTGTAAATTTCTTAGGGACCTGCCACTTTTGACTGTGGATCAGTTGATGTACACTTGTATTACTAAAGCACTCAATAAATCACTGTGGCTGATAAATGCACTTCTGGTAACCCTGCGTGTTTGCTTTGTGTCCTGGTGACTGCCATAGCCCTGTGTGCAGTGAGGCTTGTCTAACTCAATTACAGGTTAAAGTATGTTTTTCATTTCAAACCTCTAATATTTCTTTGTAGTTGAGTTGCTTGGCGTGTGGAATTTCTGCCTATCTGTTAATAGCCTAATGGTTGATGGTGAATTTAGTAGATAGCTATCATTTTACATAGTGGCTGGACATTACTTTCTTACAGGCATTTGTTCTACTACATCCTTCTCTACTCAACAATTAAACTATGTCTCCAAAAATAACCTTCTAGTGAAAGTGACATCTGAGCTGCTCATTGTGTTCAACCACCGTTGAGTTTACATCTCTCTTCCTTTTTCTCTTAAGATTGTGATTGTATACCCGTCGAGTTTCATTTTGTTTTGTTTTCCACCATAATTTTAGAGGAAGAAGTAAACTCAGCTGTACCAATCATGGTCTACACATTCGGTGACAACGGTAAGTCCACCTGGCTTTGACATTCAGGCTATTTTAGGTATGCAGCTAAAGGAGGCAGAGGAAACGTGTGGGTGATGAAGTGTGAAAAACACACTGACAGGCTGATTGATATCAGGGTTGTGATGCAAGGCATACTGGGAACTCCTGCTTCCACCAGTTATAGGCACACCTTACAATTTGGTCTCTTTTAAGGAGCCGTTAACATCTTTACTACTAAACAGTAGGATATATAAGTGTAAGTCATTCAGCTCTGAAAATCTTCTAAATATTGTAAATTTATGAGTCAAAACATGTAGTTTTTTTTTGTTTGCTTGTTTTTTAGTGGTTGAAAGAAATCCTGAAGAAAGTATATTTAAATATTGGAAATGCCACTTTTAAACCAAAGTGCCTGGGGATATTTTTTTTCCTTTTTAAATAATAATTTTACCATGCAGCTCACTTAAAAACATTTTCCAGCATGTCAGAACACCATAGAGTCTCTACTGCAACTACCTAACTCTGTGGTTATAGCAAACCACAGACAGTACATAAATGAGTAAGAGTCCTCATAAAAAACTTTATTTACAAAACCAGGCAGTGGCCAGATCTGGTACTTGTGCTGTAGTTTGCCCAAAAATAAAGCCAATAACTGGGTACCAGTAGTCACCAACTTAGGACATACTCAGGTTAGGATGAACTGCACTTAAAACCATCTGTTTTTGTTTTTGTTTCACATCTTATCATTAGCAACATATACTATGTACAGTGTTGCAGCACATGTTTTGCTAATATCGTCATTCTCTTGCCAACCCCCAAAGACAAATAAGGGTTGCATTTATAAAGATAGTGATTATGAAAAGCAATAGTAATAAAAATTTTGAAAAAATGAAGTATTTGATTTAGATCAGAACTGACTTAAAATGGCCTTGTTGAAACAGAATTTTGTCGTAAGTCAGGGACTACCTGTATTTAACATCTCTTTTCTTTAGAATACAGTAAACTTTCATTATTATGATACAAGACTATGATTTTTTGAAAATTACTCAGAATATTTTGTTCCCTATAGACTTTCTCAAAGGTTTTTATTTTTACTGTAATACTCTAGATTTTTAAAATTGAACCCTAAAAGTATGGAACCATAGTAACATGCAATTTTATGAAACTACTTTTTTTTTTTTACTTCCAACTGATTAAACCAGGCCCATGGTATTAATACGGACTTTTACCGACAATGTTTAAATTCAGTTTGCCTTTCTGTTAAAAGGTCTACTCCACTAGACATACATTCTAAATAATAGAATTATATTCTTAAATACTATCTGAAATGTTAGACTTTCTATCTCATATCTGGTTGTATTTCAGATCGTTTTCAAATGTGTGTTACTTAATAGCCAGAGAGTATAACAGTACTCATAGGAAAGCCTGCCATAAATTTGTGTGTGCTTTCCTCTGAGCCGTTTTTCAGGTTTTATGCCAATCTGTGATATGAAGAGACTATAAAATTTCTCTTCTCATTTTTATGAACTTTAAATACTTTATGACAAACAAATATACCTTGCACTCAAAATACATAAGCTAGAGAATCTCCGGGCTGACATTCTGTCTGGAGACCAACAAACTCTTAGCTGAGCCTGTTGTATCTAGATTCCAGGTAGATAACCCAATAATTTTACTTGAAATCAGTAATCACAGGGGGCAGTGAAATCCCAATATATTTTCAAAAATATTTGTGAATAAGATTAAGGAGTAGTTTAGCACTCCAGAAGCTAGATAGTTTTGCTAATAATTATGAAGAAAGCATTTTAAAATAGGAATAGTTTTGAACCCTGGTATTATTTAACTTTTTGCACCATTTATTACTAGCTATAGTATCTTGCAGTGTGTTAAATAAAATGTTGGCACATCTGAGGCAGGCCTGTTGGTCGTTGAGAATGTAAAGTTCAAGGTGGTATTTACTGATGTTAAATAACTCAAAAGACTGTCACCTTGATTTGTTCCAAAACTGCAAATAAATGGAACATTCCTCATCCGTTTTCCGATCGGAATCCATTTGTAATAGCAAATGAAGAAGTAGTCAGTCTTATTCCAAGAATTAGAAGTAAACTAGAATTTTATCCTGGAATACTAGTCTGAGAACTAGGAAGAAATTAAATATTTGGTAAGAATGTACTGTGTACCGGGTCACCTAATAAAAAGTTATCTAATGAAACCTCACTTCAGCCCTTTAGGACATAGGTGGCCCTCAGTCACACACAGCCAGCAAGGTGCCCAAATGAGATTCCCACCCAAACATGAGACACCTGATCTCTTGCTCTAAACTATGAAACCACATTCTTTCTTCTTATTACAAGGTCATACTGTGGAAATAAAGTGGCATAATTCAGTCTTAGAGTAGAGGTGCTACACAATTCCTAGGTAGCAGGGATTTTGTTTGAGTCTGTGGGCCCAGTATTAGCTCAGAGACCAAACAGCAGGAACAAGATTTCTAATCTTAGAGGTATCTCCTTAATATTTGACTACCATGGGAGTTGGGTAGGTTGGAAAACCCCTGAACTTCTCTGTACCTCAGTACTATAATAAAAGCAGTCTTAATTATTATCAAATATGACCATTTTTACATTTATGTATAATATTTAAGGACCTCTGCTGGTGCTGTGGTTAAAGCATTAGGCTGCTAACCAGAAGATCTGTGGTTCTAATCCCCACCAGTTGCTCCTCAGGAGAAAGGTGAGGCGGTCTGCTTCCGTAAAGATTTACAACCGTGAAAACTATGAGGCAGTTCTACTCTGCCCTGTAAGGTCGTTATGAGTCAGAATTGACTCAGTGGCAGTGAACTTGGTTGGTTGCTTGCTTGCTTGTTTGTTTTGGTATAGTATTTGTGCTTTAAAGAGTCCTATGTTCCTAGTTAATACTGAAAACAATTGAAGTTGCACCCAAAAATACTGCCAGAGGACACTGGCCTACCTATTTTATATCAAGGTAGCTTTTATACCTCTGTCAAAATGTCCTCTGTACAGGGATACTCTAATGTGTGGGCTGCGACCTCAAGCCATCTGGGCACACTCTGTCTCCCCAGTCTGTTTCTAGACTTGTCCTAAGAGAAAATCTGGAGCAGGCTTGGTTGTATTGTGAGCCATAACACTTTAAGCTGCATTGGATCTGAAATCTCTTAGATCTGAAATCTCTTAAATCTTCAAGATGCTAAGAGCAGCTTAGCCTCTAAAGAACTTCCATGGTAGCCTCACATCCATACTTTCCCTTTAAGGAGGTGGCTGATTCCTTGAGCCTAGAACATTTCTTTTTCTAGGTACTTTTTGTTCTCACATCCAATAGTGAACACTGGTGGTATGTCAGGGCTACCCATTTTCCTGGTTTTAAAACTGAAAGGAACATCTTTGGTCCCAAGCAGACCAGGACCATTGTTCCTGTGGGCTTCAGTGCTAGGGCTGAATTTCAGCCTAAAAGTCTGTGGGATCACAGTGGGCCAATTTGGCCCATAAAAACGTGTTTTTTTGTGGGTTTGTTTGTTTTTTTAATTGTGATTTGGGTGAAAGTTTACAGAACAAATTCACTTTCCATACACCAGTTCCCATACAGTTTGTCTCATTACATTGACCATTGACTACACATTGACTACAATTTACTCCAATGCAACAGCTCCCCTCCCACTTCCTCCCCATAGTTACCTTTTTCCTGTGTCCATCCCTCCATGCACTCCTGCCCCCTGAGCCTTTCTCCCTGTACATAAACAACCCTTCTCCCTCCCATGATTGTTCTCTCCAAGGAGTGTATCTACCTGAGGTAAATGTTCAATTCATATGCCTATCTTTTGTTTAGCTGGAAGCCACAAGTGTGGGTTCAATTCCAGACCTGAAGGGCACCTAAGGACCATAGTCTCAGTGGTTCCACCAGGCTCTATCAGACCAGCAAACCAGGTCCCCTTTTTTTTTTCCCAAAGGATTTTGAGTTTTGTTCTACATTGTTCTCCCACTCTGTCCAGGGTATCCTACATAGATCCTCCTCTGAGTAGTTGACAGTGGTAGCCAGGCACCATCTAGTTCTTCTGGTCTCATAGTCATATAGGCTGCAGATCGCATGATGTACCAGTCACTAGGACTAATTGATTCCATGAATCTTTGATTTTCTTCATTCATCTTTGCTCTGGATGCGGAGAGACCCATTGTTGCTCTCAATGGCTGCTTGCAAGCTTTTAAGATCCCAGTCGCTACTCACCAAAGTAGGAGGTGGAACAATGTTTTCTGTAGTATGTTATGCCAATTGAGCTTGATGTCCCCTGCAACCATTGTCCCGAGCCCACAGATTCAACTACTCGGTCCCTCTGAGTAGCTGGCTGTGACCAAGCAATGACTACAACCTTGTCCCTTGTCAGTTCTACTATACACTTAAGGATTCTTACAGAATACAGATACACTTGTAGGACCATTGTCTGCCAACCCTATACTTGGACTTGAGTACACTCCCCGCTGCATAGACATACCAAATAATTTAGCCTGTCCACCCATCT